TTTCTGAACACTTCCTAACCTCCCAGCCCTCATGATCTCATTTTCCTCTGGATCCAGTGGTACTTAACATCTGTGGTAGGCAGAATAACCTCAAATCTCTGGAATCTGTGACATGCTACCTTACAGAGCAATAAGGACTTGGTGGGTGTAATTAAAGTTGCAGACCTTAAAACAGGGAGGTTATATAGATGATCTCAATCTAATCACATGACCCCTTAAAAGCAGGGATGGCTGCAGTCAGAGAGATATAATAGAAGGGAAACATAGATTCTAAGTGTGAGAAGGACTTGAGATGCTGCTGCTGACTTTGGAAATGAAGAGGCCCACATGCAAGAATTGGAGAATGCTCTCCCAAGAAGTTAGGAGCTATGGGTGGTCCGGAGTTGACAGCCAACAACAGACTGAGAGCTCAGCCCTTCAGCTTTAAGGAGGTGGATTCTGCCAACACCCTTGATATACTAGGAAGAAGATTCTTCCCAGAACTTCTCAATAAAATCCAGCCTTGATTTCAGCTTTGTGAACCCTGGGGCAGAGGAACCAGCCAAGCCAACCCCAGCTTCTGACCAACAGTACTGTGAAAGAATAAATTTGTGCTGTTTTAAGCCACTGGGTTTGTGGCAATGTGCTATGACAGCAATAGAAAATCAGTACAACATCCTTACTGTGCATTTCAAAAAGGGTAATGTTCAAGAGATTGGGATTTAGAATTTGACTACTGGGCCAGAAATCTGTTTGGGTTTTTTTTTTTTTTCAATGTTTATCTATTTTTGAGAGAGACAGAGAGAAAGTGCAGGCAGGGGAGGGGCAGAGAGAGGCAGACAGAGGATCCTAAGTAGGCCCCGTGCTGACAGCAGAGAGCCCAACGCAGGGCTTGAACTCACAAACTGCAAGATCATGACCTGAGCCAAAGTCGGATGCTTAACTGACTGAGCCACCCAGGTGCCCCTCTGAATTCTGCTTCAGTATCCACAAACTGCATGATCTTAGGCAAGTTACTGACTCTTTTAGATACTAACATACTAACATTCAACAGTGCTATGTTGACAGGACAAATAGTCCTGTGGTTATTTGTATTAATGATGACTTTCTGCAAGTAGATTCTAAGTTCCTGAGATATGGGCAAGCAATGGGTTCAAAATAATCACAAACTCTTCACAGTTCTTCCCATGAGGTGATGAAGCTGCTTTTTCTCTATCACTTGCATCTGGGCTGGTCTTTGACACTTGTTGTCCAAAAGAATATGATGGAATTGATGCTGTGAGAGTCTCAAGAGGACTTGCAGGTTTTGTTTCCCTGCGACACTTCTGCCATCGTGTGAAGAAGCCTGGGGTGAAAGTCAGACTGGAGAGAGGGCTGGCCATCTCTGTCACAGTAGACGTCCCCACTTAAGCTCCTAACCTTCAGAGCATCTGGCACCAGCCCAGCCCCAGCTTACTGCAGCCACAGAGTCCAGCCCAAGGAATGCCCAGTCTGCCCACAAGATCCCGAAATACAATAAATTGTTGTCTTAATCTGCTCAATTTCACTTTTGTTTTGTTTTATTTGGGCAACAATATATAGCCGATTCTGGAGATTGTCTTAAACATCTTTTCATTTTCCCCAGTAGCCTCCTCAGAACTTAGTTCAGGGCCTTATTTGTTATAAATATTCAAGTGTTTGTTAATGTAATTATTACCTGCTCTTTCCTTGATTTTTTTTTTCTTATTCAATTTGTTTATTAATTAAAATTTGGTTGTAAAGAAACCTAAACACGTATTTGCAGGCGAGTTTCACCATTTGGGTAAAAACAGACTTATCCTTAAACTGTGTAGGCAGGATAAGGCCAGTAAGAAAGGTGTCAGTGACTATAATAACTGAATAAATGTGTGAGTAACATATCTTTGACTAATGCTGATTCTGTGCAAGTCATATAACGTCTATGGGCCTCGGTTAACTCATCTGTAAGTTGGGAGGCTTGTATCAGAAGCTCTGCAGTCTTTTCTGAAGTCCACATTCCACCATGAAACCCTCTGTTTACAGATCTGGCATAGACAGCTGGCATAGACAGGGGCAGAAGTGCTGAGTTCGTTCCAAGTTTAAAGCAGTTGTCAGAGAGGGGAGACTAGCCTTTGTGGTATAAGTGAAGACCCAGTGGTCACTGGCTTAAGCGATTCTGCTTCATGATCTAGTTTGTCATTTGTTGGGAAGGAAATTAATTGGTGATCTTTGTCTAGCTTCCTCTGTCCATATCATAAAATACATCACAATCGGCAGATGACTGGCAGCCTCATCAGGGAGAAGAGAACATAGAATCATTTTAAGAATGAATGGGCCTCTTATACCTTGCCTCACGGCACTTTCTTTCACACCCGTGTTGCAATAAACACATGTTGCAGCAATGCTAGAAGATGCTAACACTTGTTCTATGTTTGGTCATAGGGGAAAGAAGTAGATAATTTTTTTTAATCTAAACTAATCTAAATAATGTCTTATGCCTCTAGGGAGATAGTTTATGAATACTCATTATTTTTTGTTATACAATTACCTTGCTCTCCTAGGAAGTGCATGTGGCTGATCACAACAGAATGAAAATGATCCGTCCCTCTGGACAAAGTAAGTGCCCACTAATGCAGAGGTATTCTATCCACTCCCATACACAGCCACCACCTCTGTCCTCCTGCTGTTTACTCTAGACTCTCTACCTGTGGCTGGCTTCTCTGGTCTCTACCCCATAGCCATGAACGTGAATTTTCATTCTTCCTCTTCATCATTCCCACCCCCTCTTCTAATTTTTTTTTTTTTTACATTTATTTATTTTGTAACTAGAGAGACTGAGAACAAGTAGGGGAGGGGCAGAGAGAGAATGAAACACAGAATCTGAATCAGGCTCCAGGCTCTGAACTGTCAGCACAGAGCCCGACGTGGGGCTCAAACTCACAAACTGTGAGACCATGACCAGAGCTGAAGTGGGATACTCAAGCAACTGAGCCACCCAAGCGTCCCTCCCACCCTGTCTTCTGATTCTACCCTAGTGATGCACAGTCTGAGAGCAACTGACCTTCCATCTCCGAGTTGAGTCCAGGCTTCCAGAACATATACCTTATACATGAACTGGGAAGTAAACATAAAACATCTTTTAAAGTTCATGTAGCAACAGAGAAAAGTAAACTAAATCTCTTAAAAGTTCTCCATATGTCTAGCATCCCTCATGCAAACAGAATATACCTCTACAAACCAAGGAGATGGAAACAATTTTTTGTCATTCAAGGAACCCATCAATTCCCAGTATCTTTCATCATGAATAGTTACAGTCATGTGACACACACTTGCACTTTGTATATGACTTCAGTGTACTTCCCATAGCATTCTTACAAGTAATGACCAAATATTTTTAGACTTTAAAAATACATCAGTGTGCTAAAATAAATGGACACCAGACCATTGTCAAAAGTTAACATAGATTTAAAATTATAATAATTTTAGAAAAATTTTGATGAACTTCTTCCAAACCAGTAAAAATTGGGGTAGAGTGAGGAGCTTGCCACGGTCACTGAACTTTAAAGGTACAAATGCTATAGACAAAAATACACTACAAAACTCTTGCAAGTACTGGTGCTTCTAGCAATAATGGATTATAGGGACCTTAATTGCCCTCCCTCCTTAAACAACTAGATTACTGGATAAGATATATGAAACAATGAGAGTCAAGCATTCGACCACACCCAGAACATGAGAGTGACTCCTGAGAGAAGGAAAACAAATGAGGTGTTTTCTATAATTGTCCCAGTTTACTGGCTGGAAAGAGTTTTCAGGCTAAGAGCAGGGAGGGAGAACAAAAACAGGGCGTGTAAGTCCCACTGACTTCAGGATACACAGCTCAGAATTTAGGAAGGATTAGGGCCAGGACAGGGTGAGGAAAGTTAAGCATTTGCCTTAAGCACAAAATTTAGAGCAATGCCCCAAAACTGAGTAATCAAGATAAATGAGATAAATAATACTTTAATCCATTATTTTAAACATCTGCATTAATATTAAAAATTACAGTGGACAGGGGCGCCTGGGTGGCGCAGTCGGTTAAGCGTCCGACTTCAGCCAGGTCACGATCTCGCGGTCCCTGAGTTCGAGCCCCGCGTCGGGCTCTGGGCTGATGGCTCGGAGCCTGGAGCCTGTTTCCGATTCTGTGTCTCCCTCTCTCTCTGCCCCTCCCCTGTTCATGCTCTGTCTCTCTCTGTCCCAAAAATAAATAAAAACGTTGAAAAAAAAATTAAAAAAAAAATTACAGTGGACAAAATATCAAACTTTTAAATAAAGACAGAATCTGACTCTGAACTTGCATGCTTTGGCTTTGCTTGCCTCGCCCTAATCCCAGCCCTGGCAGAGATTTTTAATTTTGATGAAGTCCAATTTATCAATTTTCTTTTTATCGTTAGTGCTTTTTGTGTGCTGTTTAAGAAATCTCTGCCAATCAAGTTTACAAAGATTTTCTTTTATATGTTCTTCTAAGATATTGTTTTCACTTTTAAATTTAGGTATGATTGCTATCAAATAAATTTGTGTTTATGGTGTGAGACAGGGGTCAAGATTCAGATTTTTCATAATGATACCTAGTGGTCAAGGACTCATGAGAAAGCCCATCTCAGCCCTGTGGAGCCCTCTGTCTGTGCAGCATCCACCTCTGGGGTCTCGGCCCTGTGGATTTCAATAGCTTCGGCTGCCCCAACCCTATCTCTGTCTTTCCAGCTCAGATGAACTGCTGTGAGCTGCTTGGACTCCAGCTCACTGCACTGTAGTCAAAAAATGTGTTCCCAATCGGACAGCGGAGTAATCATAAGACATGCATAGTGTGTTCTTTTTCTCAGGGATCCCAGCTGCACACTGCTGTGGTCCAATGCCTGAACGCAGTTGTCTCATATGTTTGTCCCAGTGTTATGCTTGTTTATGATGGGAGTGCTACCTTTGCTACCAGTTACTCCAGCATTGTCAGAAATCACCTTTGCACAATATTAATGAAAAAGCTCTTGTATATTTATTTGACATAATATTTTTAATCATACTGATCATGCATCGTACATGATCATATATCACTCATTTGCATACATAACCAACAAAATGTAAGTGACATTGGATAAAGTATTCCTAAAATTTCAAGTTCTTTTGAATTACTTTAATTCAGGTTGTTAGTAGTTGTATTTTTCCATGCAATAGTGTTCTTTATGCCATGGAGATCACTGGTGATGCAGCATTCCTCAAAAGACTGATCTATTGATTGTGATTCTCTTCCAAGTTGCTGTCACTTTTGAATTTTGATGTTGGTACTTTTAAAGAGTGTAAATATGCAGGCAGTGTCACTGTGTTATGACTGCCACCTGGTCCCCTGTAATTATTAGATGTCACCGACAGTACGAAGGCATCCAGATTTCAAAGATATTAAAATGAAAAAAAAGTGCATATTAGAATCAGTGTTGTCCACCATTTGATGTTTAAACTATATGCATCTTAATAGTGAGAAAAGTAGAAGCCAGCTATTAAAAACTTAAAAATAATTGTCTTATATCATTGGGAGTATATTTAGCATAACTCTAGAATTGATCACCAGTCTTTACTGTTGCAACAAACACTTACTCCACTGCTAATTTTCATTAGTGCAGCCAAATAGAGACTAAAAGTGAATTTTGAATGTTAATGGGGAAAAAATAATATGTAGAAGAAAAAAAAAAAATCTACATACGGGAATCTGTCTCCTGACAAGAAGTCAGGAAAAACGAGTTCTAAACTTGTATATTAATAGCTAACGTGTGTTGCAACTGTTCAGTGAGCTTTCAGTAAAAGCTTCCTTAACAACCTGCATTTAAACGACTACTTGGCTTTCTGCATTCTGTCTGTAAAGCACACTGCCACACTGATGGCACATCAACAGTTCCAGGGTACCCCGTCTCCAGGAAGCTGATCACCATTGCTCCCTCAAGTTGAGGTGTACGCTATCAAGAGTCAGTGGTGTATGGAACCACATCTGACTCTAACAGTTGCACCTGTTAATGCACTTGCATATTTTCATTAAATACAACACAATTCAATGAAATAAGAATCTCAATTGATGAAAGGTTATTTTTTTTTTTTTAAACGAAGTTGAATGCACTGGAAGGAATCAATCAATATGATGTGTTTTGTTTTTGTTTTTTAAATTTTTTTTTCAACGTTTATTTATTTTTGGGACAGAGAGAGACAGAGCATGAACGGGGGAGGGGCAGAGAGAGAGGGAGACACAGAATCGGAAACAGGCTCCAGGCTCTGAGCCATCAGCCCAGAGCCCGACGCGGGGCTCGAACTCCCGGACCGCGAGATCGTGACCCGGCTGAAGTCGGATGCTTAACAGACTGCGCCACCCAGGCGCCCCAATATGATGTGTTTTTAAAAAGGCTGTTGAGTTAGGTATAGGTGAGATGACCAATACAAATTTGGAAACTGTAAAAATCTAGAAGAACCCTGTGCTTGATTGACTCATAAATATCTTTAAAATTTTTGCTCTCCTTTAAAGGAATGAAAGCTTTATGGATGACTAGAAACCCAATCAGAGGGTCCATACTCAAAGAAAATACCTTGTCCTACATGGAAGATGAGTAAATGAATACACATACACATATAGTATATATAATATATAATAATAAAATATACAACATATTAAAATATAAAAAATGTATTATATTTACAAATATATTCATAAAATATGATTTTTATTAATATAATATATATTAGGTTTGCATTCATATATTAGATTAAATATATACATACACATACAAATATGAGGTTAAATACATAATTTAGTGTTTATATTTATAGTGAATCACTGCTTACACTGACATTTTGATACACTTTCTTTATTGCATTGAATAAGAGGGCTTCTACCCTATTATCATGTTAGTTTTACGGATGAAGAGATTGAAACCAAAACCAAGAACGTGATTTAGTCACATGACCACCAAGTGATGAAGCTAGGATGCCCACCAAGCAGTACAATTCCCGAGCCCTTCACCCTCAATCTTAACAGCCTCCCACAGACTTGCTACGTATACTTAGAAAATAAGTCAGCTTCTCCAAATTTGATTTTTTTCACCTGTAAAATAAGGGAGTTTTATCAGATATCTCAGGTCCCTTCTATGATATAATTCTAAAAAATTAATTTCTATGACATAATTCTCTGCCACCTAAGTATGGCTCTGATGCTTATGTTCTTCATGAGTATTTTGACCAGCTAGGCCCCTATAAAGTGCAGGTGAGGAAAAACACCTTCAGTCTTTATTTGAGTTATCACTACCCCATACTGATAACAGCATGGCTAAATTGAAACAATCATACTAAGAGATTGTGAGCTTTTCTTTGATGCTTTTTCACTTATTCCAAGTTTCAAGATCTCTTTTTAATAGCTCAAAAGTCAGGACAGTGATGGGGTAAATGAACTGGAGTCTTACCAATGATGAGTTTGAAATATGAATCTCTGAGGTAGAAAAAATGACTCCCACCCAGGATGGCCAGTATTAATCTTTGGCCTCTCCTTAGGATTTTTCTCATCCTAAAGCTTGCTTTAAAATTTCCCTTGTCAGATGTCCTATTCAAGTTTTTGGTACTTAAATTCAAATATCCTTTTTGAGTAATGGTCACACGCTGTTCCTTTTGTGGCCTTATTAATCTTTCCTGGCTTTGAATAATGAATGTCCTTTGGTAGATGTCTAAGACCACAGTCTGGTAGCACAGCACTTGTTACTGAACCTTCCAAAAATTTCCCTGTGTTGGTCAATATGTGTTAGGTACTCCCATTCACTTTAATCATAACTAAAAAATTCACCATTATTTGTTTAACTTCTGAAAAGATTTAACATTGTCAGTCACTACTGGGCAGCACATGAAGATGAGAATTGTACATAGAACTGAATGTTTGGAATCCTAAGTGTCCTTATAAGTAAAATTGAACTAAACATGTATATAAAATAAATGCTGTTGATTAGTATAGAATATCATTAAAAATGTACATAACACTACATAATAAAACAGATATCACCAGGAAAGTACAATTTTGCAGTGTAGAAAAAATTCTATTTTCAAATAATTTATCATTTGATTTAGGTCAGAGAATTTTCTAATTAATTCCCAATCAATTTTTGGCAAAGTGTGTTGCTTCTACTTCCAGAAGATAAAATGCATAGCAAGAATAAGCTACTTCTGAATTTTTTTTCATGTTCTTGTATTCTATTACCTTAGCCCTGCATTTATCTCTAGGTGTTCATGTACAATGATCTAAATGAAATTTTTGAGATGAATATTAGTTTCTCACAACATACCAACATCTGTTCCCAGTCGAGGTAATAGGGTTATGGTCAACGGGATACAAACAACTCATGGAAACATTCATGTTGAGAAAGAGCCTTCTGGGAAAATTGAAAGATAGATTGTTGTTTCCTAGGTGAGTGCCTTCCATTCGAGGCTGGGGAAGAAATGCTACTGGAAGGCAACACAGATTAGGGCTGATAGGAAGATAAATCTCAGGCACAATCTCAGATCAGCCACCCACAGAGCTTTTTTTATTTTTAGAATGGATTGTTCAGATATGGTGTTCCTTACGTGGAAAAATGCAGTAAGTGAAATGACAGAGGGAAAAGGGTGACTATTCTCAGATAAGCCTGAAAAATTTATTAACCATTGTTTATCTTAAACATTTCACTAGGGGAGTGTAAGTGTAACATAGACTTAATATCAGGATGGGGACTGAGTCAACTAAACAAGCATATATCAGAATTTTTATGTTTAAACAAATTTTTTAGGGTTTTTTCTTTTTTTTTTAAGAAGACTTTGTTTTGATCCATGGGGAAGTCATAGGTTTGAGGAACAAAGAGAACCATATTGGATAAGTTACTAGCAAAGGGAACTGAAATAATGATATACCATCTTACCTTTTTACGTTTATTAAGTTTGCTTAATTCTATTTTCAGGTGCTTTTGTGTCCAATGGCATATTGCTTATCATTTTCAACGTAAAACCCAAGTAAGGGTGAGGCAGTGTATTCCCGGACGGTCTGGTCTCAGACACATTGTTTTCTTCTGTCCTGAGATAAACACCATCGGAATGTTTGCTGCATCACTTTTCCCCAAACTCCTCACTTTCTGACAGAGATCACAAACTATGCCAGAGGATATCGTAAGTCCTGCTTTCCCTCCTTATCCGTGGGGGATACGTTCGAAGACCTCCAGCCTGAAACCGCCGATAGTACTCAGTCCTATATGTACTATGTTTTTTCCTATACATACCTCTGATAATGTTTAATTTACAAATTAGGCACGTAAGAGATTAACAATAACTAATAAGGAAACAGAACAATCATAAAAATTACTGTAATAAAAGCCATGTGAATATGGCCTCTCCATCAAAATAAATCTTACTGTACTGTACTCACCCTTCTTGTGATGATGTGAAATGATAAAAATGCCTACGTGATGAGATGAAGCGAGGGGAATGACATAGGCACTGTGACCGACATACCCTTACACTACTATTGACCTTCTGAAGCTATGTAAAGGGAGGATCATCTGCTTCCGGGTCAAGGTCCTCGCGGGGAACTGAAACCTCTGATGAGGGTGACTGCTGTACTTGCTCACATCCTAGTGAGTTTCCTTTGTCACGCAGCTCTTCCAACAGTGTGACTGGCTCAATTTCCTCTTTATGTGAAAGAAAAAAATGTTTAGTCTATACTCCTTGGAGCATGCATGGCCTCTGGAAATATTTTTGAATAAGCACTGTTTTTTTCTCTGATGACGTTTTCCCCTTTGGCTCTTTGTCATTCTAGGAGATGGATATCCCAGGAGCTTGGCTTTGAGGCTCTTCCTTCCCAGAATGCAAACAATGCCACCCACTTTAGGTAATCCTAGCCGGGATAACTACTGTTTTCTCAGGGAAAGTTCCTTGGCCACTTCTTTAAGATCAACCAATCCAGGCACTGCTGAGAATTTCTCCTCAAGTTTAAACATATACAAGTCTGTAGAAAATAAACCCTCCTTCCTTCTGCCTTTAGTTATTTCTGTCTCTACCTATCCTAAATGAAAATAATCCATAGGTTCTGAGACAGCACCTCCTGATCTGTTCACCTTTGCATTCCTCTCTCTCTGCCTCAGACCAGAAAGCCCCTTCTGAAACTGGGATTGTCCTTCATCAGAAACCTCAAAAGTAACTCTACAAAGGAAATGTGTATGTGTGTGTGTGCATGTTCAGGGATGGAAAGAGAATAATACCTTGTAAGAATTCCGTACAATAAACTGTTAATTAGAAAATTTCAGAGTTCACTTAGGTCCTAGGGGAAGTACATGGACAAAAGCGGGCCCAAAATAGATGGATCCTTCTAGGACCTAAATTATTCTTAGGGTTTTATCAAATGGCTTTATCCTTTAATTATATGAACAGTTTTTGAACATAGGGTAAATCCTGAGAGGCACCACTTAGTTCATTGTAGTAGTAATTTCAAAAATGGCACCCGGGTGACTTGACAGATCTTACGCCATTTTTAAAAGTGCCAAGTTTATACTCAGGCACAGGAAAAATCTGGAATGTTATCTGCATATACCTTAAACAGCTACTTCTTCTCAAAGACACTACAATTACCAATGCACTACAAAACCAGGGTTTCCGAAGGTGTTGTCAATGCCTTTTCACTGAGCTCTCAGGAGCAGTGACCTTGGTTCACCTTAAAACTATTATGCCTTTGCTCTGTGTTTTACAAGGGTCTCACCTCTACTATGCTATTTCACTGCCAGGCTCTTATCTCAGTGGAGAGAGTCAATGCCAGTGCCCCACTAACATTTCAGGAGGGTATAGGAAAGAACTGTCAGCTCAGGTCAGAGGTGTCAGGATTCAGAGACCTTAACACCAGGCTCAAGGCCTGAAATCTGGTTTGAACAAGACAAGTCAAGACGAAATGGTCCAGTGTAGCAATACTTTTGCTTCCCAAGTCACTGTTATTCAAAAAGCCGTTTAGGGAACACATTGGCATAACATGGAACAGGAGGTTGTCGAGTTGAAGGACAAAGTATAGAGAAGGTAACTTGCATTTACAGAATTGTTGGCATGAGTTTAAACAACTTAAAGATTTTGAGTTCTAATCCTACCCTCAAAGCTTTCTTATTCCTTACAATTTTGTTTCCCCATTTATTGTAACACCTTCTTTATGGGTACATGATGAGAAATAACAGAAATGCATTTACAGTTATTTTTTGTTTTGAAACCAAAACGTTGGCATTTAAATGTGAAATAAGAGTTTCGCGTTTCATAATTTATTTTTCTCCATCTAAGGTTGGAGATGTTGGAGAATGAAAGTATGAACCCATTGAAGATCTTACAGAATCACGTTCTCTGTTCAGCCTGGGTAGTAAGAAGAAGCATTCCAGAATGCTCAACAGATACCCAGTAGAACTGTTCATGCTTCAAAGTCTGTAACACCTAGCTAGTGATTAAATGCCTAAAAAAAAAAAAAAAAAAAAAAAAACCCTAACAAGAGGGGCGCCTGGGTGGCGTATTGGGTTGAGTGTCCAACTTGGGCTCAGGTCATGATCTTGTGGCTCTGTGCATTTGATCCCCACCTCAGGCTCTCTACTATCAGTAAGGAGCTCACTTCAGATCCTCTGTCCCCCTCTCTTTCTGCCCCTTTTTCAAAAATAAACATTTTTTTAAAAAGTGTAACTAAAAAGAATGTCAATTATAGCAGATATTTTATTCTTTTACATCGTATGTTCGGAGCAGATCTTTAGATCAGTAGATTTCTAGAGAGAATGAACTGTGTACTTAACTGCATGGAAATGAAACACACGCAGAATCAGAGTTCAGCCCTCAGTATAAATGATGCATCGTATATTCTTCATACATTCTTTCCCCGACTCCCATTACTTAATTATACACAATAACTGTGTTTTGGAGATTTGATTTTCTTCCCTCCACCCCAAATAAAAAAGAGAGCACACATTTTGTAGAGTTATTAGCGTGCTTATAATCTTTCTGCACTTCTATTTATGGGGCTTTTGGGTTAGAGGACAGCCTCCATCCAAGTCCCTATGGCCAAGAGCTTGATAATGAAATCTCAGAGGGAACCTGTTTTTGTCTGGGGCTTTGTCACAGGGCCATAGTCTAGGTATTCATGGTATCTAAATATCATTTGTTCATACCGACTAGACCTGTTTTCTTCCCTGGGAAAACAGACAGCTATTGTTTAGGATGATATTTGAGTATTAGGCTTACAATTGAGCAAGATAATTCTTTTTTTTTTTTTTTAATTTTTCTTAACATTTATTTATTTTTGAGAGTCAGAGCAGGAGTTGGGGAGGGGCGGGGAGCGGGGGAGAGACACAGAATCCAAAGCATGCTCCAGGCTCTGAGCTGTCAGCACAGAGCGCAGGCGGGGCTTGAACTCACATATCATGAGGTCATGACCTGCACCGAGGTCGGCCACTTAACTGACTGAGCTGCCCAGGCGCCCCTAGCAGGATAATTGTTTATTGCCTAAGACTTGTCCTGCCTTCCAGGACATTTAGCAGCACCCCTGACCACTCTCCTGTAGATACCAGCAGCATTTCTCCGCGGCTGCTCCCAGTTGTAGCTATCAAAAATATCTCCAGACATTGCCAAATATCTTAGGGGGCGCAGAATCACTCCCTGCCCCACCCCTCGATCCTCCACCCGAAAACCAATAGGTTTAAAGGACTATTTCACAACATCCTGATGTTAGTGTTACGGAACCTGGCCTGGATCACCCAGCGGAAGAACCAAGCGGCACCTGGGTTTGGAAGGCAGGGGGGAGGGATCAGAGATCACTCTCCAGAGATCTGAGTCCTGGGCGGGTGCAAGCAGAGGCAACACTTTATAGTCTGTTACTTCCGCATTCCGCATTAGTAGTAATTTGGCGGGCTTGGCAAGAGGGGTAGGAACAAGAACCCGGAAGGGGAGTTTTTAGTCGGGGACTGGAAATTCCCTATCAGTCCTGTCAGCCATCTTATAAGATTTTTCCCTACCATTAGTGTATTTGGGTTTTCAGTCTCATTGGAGTTAACACATAGTAACAGTGTATTGCATATATAATTTGCAAAATGCTTTTCACTTAGAGCAGTATATTCAGTCTCCCAACAGCTCAAGACACATTTGTTGATCTTCTTTTCAGACTGAGAGACTTGCTGGGGGCAGGTAAGTGACAAACTCTTGAAGTGACAGTTGACAACTTTAAGGTGGGATTTCTGGGGCACTCGTTTTGGCTTTGGCCCCCAGTTCCTGTGGTTCAGTTTGTCTAACGAAACTGTGCACTGGATTGCCTCTCTTATGCTAGTGCTGGAAGGGATCTTAGAGCTTTTCTGGTCCATCTTCCATTTTAGGAGAAAATTGAGTTGTAGAGGAAGGAATTAGGTGACTTGTCCAGATAACGAATGTGGTAAAGTCAGGACTTAAAGCCAAGCCCTGAACTTCCTAACCAGTGTTCTTTACATTAGGTACTGCTCGGTCAATAGTACAGAAATAAATGAAGAAACAGAGATACAAATAAATACATTTCAGGGTGTGTGTGTGTGTGTGTGTGTGTGTGTGCACGCTTTTGTGCTGATGAGGGTAGAGCTACTGGCTGTGTTATCCAGCGTTCAAAATGGTTGTGGCTGATCTCTGCCACTATTATTAGGCATCATATTTCTTCCTTGGAATGAATATCAGAGGGGGGCGGGTGGGAAGGTGATGGGAGAAGGGGAGCCCCTTAGGGAAAGACTAATTATTGTGCTTAGGAAGACAGCCTTTCTAGTAAACCTCTTTCCACACCCCAACTCCCTAACCCCTTTCCTTATTGTCGTTGAGAAATTGTCAAATCCTATAAACTCAAGGGGTGTGGTGAAGGTGCCGGATTGTTTGCCAGGCTGGGCTGTCTGAAAATCGGAATGCTCTATGCTAATAGCACTCTTGTCATGCACACTGATCCTTTGTTTCCGTGCCCCCAAAGTCTTTGCTATGCAAATCAAACCACAGGGGCACTTTAACATGTAAATCACATAATCTCCCTCACGTGGGATGAATTGACAGGATTTTAAGCTCCTTGACTGTTGGGAAGCAATGAACGGTACTTATTTAACTGGCGTTATTGCACTGGGCACATCTCCTACACTGGGCTTTACTCGGTGGTGCCACCATGCCAGGGGAAAACTGGTGTGATTATTAACATTGCTGTCAGAGGAACCAAAGGGTCTCAAACCTCAGAATTCTGCCCCCCCCCCCCGAGGAGGAAAATAAGACACTCCTCAGAAACGGTGCTCAATTCTGTGTCCCCCTTGAGAATGGGTTTTTCTTTGATTAGTGAATGAACACTGAATCTTCCTGGGAATGGCTGTTTCCAGCCTGTTTCACAGGTAAAAGAGCCAAGGAGAGTTATAGGGACATTTCAGGCCCCTCAGCTGGGAGAGAGTCCAGGCGGAGGTAGGAAGCCAAACCCGCCTGGAGGCTCGGGAAGGCCTTGAATTCATGAGCTGCCTGCTGCAGACTTGACCTCTCGT